ACTTATTCCACTAAGCCATCTCCCTGGCCCCCTAAATGTATATTCTTAAAATCTACTTCTGTTCTCCAAACCTCAGTTTCCTAATGTATAAAAATAATAATACTGTCTTGAAGAAGTTGGGAGGATTAAAGAGAAAATATATGAAACTTACCACTTGGTGCCTCTTCCATCACCATGTGCTGAGGTACTATTCTCTTCTTTATCCTACTCCTTCCTCTCTCACTTTTAAGGGAGGGGGAAAATACAGTGAAGAAAAACATTAAAAATATTAGAATTTAAATTAAAACTAAGCTCTTAGTTTAAGCAGAATAACCCATGTATTTAAGTACAGAGGGCAAACAGCCTGAACACAAGGCTCCTCCTTTCTGGTTTGTTTCTTGTTCTTTTCTTGGATGAACGCTAATGATGCTACTTAGCAAACCTCAAGGGTTGTTTTTTCCCATAGTATCATCCTTTTCATCTAGAATGTTCTACATCCTAATTCTGCCAGCTAAGTACTGCCACCAGCCCAATAAAAACTAGTTCTATGTCTGGTGCAGTAAGCAGCTTGGCCTGTGTTGCCTGTTGGACCTTAATAGACTAGAAACTGTGAAGAAAAAACCTTATGTCTGTCCTGCATGGTAAAGAATGACCTGTATCCAGCAAAATACCTGACAGAGAATGTAAATTCAGATGTTTGCTAGACAAGTGAATGAAGATTAACTTTGACCTTTCTTTGCCTTATATATCTCATCTCATCCATTACTCTCATCCCATCTATTACATTGTTGACCCCTGGAAGAAATGCATAGGCCCCTTTTCAGTATTAGTAGTAATAAGTATAATAAATAGTGGGTGACTGTGGAAAGAGACAGACTTTTAAAAATTGTGTTAGAGGCTATAGTCAGAAAAACAATCAGCATTTATTATGTTCCAGGAACTGTTACAGAGTCACTTATGTGGATTATCTCATGTAATCATCATCAGTCCTTAATTGGTATTAATATACATATGGAAGACAGGCCATTGGATGTGCGGTGACTTTGCCTAGTTCAGACCAGTGGGAAGTGGTAGTCCTGAGATTCAAGTGGAGGTACTTAAAAGAGTTTCATATCTTGCTCTCAGACCTGCTACAGAGCTCTAGGCATGTTTACTGAATAAAGTCTCTGGGCAGTTTAGGGAAGGGTTTCATTTAAACTTTTTACTTCCCTACTGTTTTGGCAATTTCTATTTTGTTCTTTCTGATTTATCTCACATTTTTATGTTCTCCAGAAGGCTGTCTTTTACCATCCTTATTAGCATGGGGTAGGTGTTCAATGAAAAGTAATTTCTACTTTTCCCTCCTAGGTTCATAATAACAGTGCTAAGAAAGACAATGTAAGACGGGGAAAAATTAAATATTTTTACTGAGGTAAGTTTTTTTGTAATTTAATTTTTTTATTTTCTCTATATGTTCTTTATACTGTGCTTTCTAAAGGTATAAAAAGGAGATTGTTTTAGGAGTTTTTGGGTTCATAGAACATTTAGGCTATAAGTTTGATGTCAGGAATGTGGGCTGTTTGCTAAGGTCATTTGGCTTTTCCTATCCCTTTGAATCTAATCTCTAAATTTGTATTATTTTATTGTTTTAGAGCATGTAGTGACAGAGATTCAACAGTAGAAACATGGAGGCCAGGGAGATAACTCAGTGGAATAAGTGTTTGCTTGGTAAGCACAAGGTCCTGAGTTCGATCCTTGGTACCACCAAAAAAAAAAAAAAAAAAGAAAAGAAACAAACCCATGGGAGTTGAAGAAATTTAAAACCATTTTAGTAAGATAGTAGTACTTCTTTTCCTTAAGCAAAAATGTGTTGATTTTTATCATAATGAGAAAAATTTCCATCACTATAGAAAAACATAATGACAAAAATAAGCATTTAATTTTTGCTACCAAAAAGTGGGCACCATTAATATTTTGATGAATATAATTTTGAGGACTTGTGAGTAAATATGAAAGTATTTCTATTCAAGATTTTAAATGAATGATGGTCTTTATATAAAACTATGATCTTTTTTTTTCTTTTCAAAGTTTTATTGATAAACATATAGCAATGAGACAGTTTCAAATCAAATCGAAAGTACAGTTTCAACAAATAATACAC